TATGCGTGTATATATGTGATTAAGAGACCGGGACTGGTGATGGTGTTCGGGAAAAAAGAAAGAAAAACCTCTTTTTTTTCTCTTCTTTCTCGCTCTCTCTTTTCGATCGTATTTGATTGATGCGATATTTGACGACGACGTCCTATCTCTCTCTCTTCTTTTTCTTGTCGGTGGGATTCTATTTGCTCGCTAAATGCATACTCGACGAATTGTGATTCGACAAAGAGAGAACGAGACAAGATAATTACGTACACTATTGGAACAAGTGAAGCTGCTAGACTATATCAGAACAAAACGACGGACGAGAGAGAAGAAGAAGGAGGAGAAGGGACGAGTGGGGAAATCATTTTTTGCTTCCACTATTACCATCACACAAAAAATAACACTCGCTGAATGTGAGTGAGTAGTAAAAACCAAGCGCATAAGAGAGAGAAAATGAAGCAGGACGACGAGAATTGAGGAGGAGGAGGCAACTACCGTTTGTCAAGATCTTAGTGATCTTTTCTCTCTCTCTCTCTCTTCTATCGATCGGTAGCCGAAACCATCTTCCCGACGAACGGGAAGAGAGACAGAGAGAGAGAAGAGAATAAACTGATAACCGAGCAAGTAAAGTAAAAGAAAAAATCGTTGAAAAGTGAAGATGTCATTCGATCTTAATGATTTTACTCTCTTTCTGAGAGCTTGAACACACGGTGATGACGACGGACGCGCGCTCGCGCGTACGAGAGAGCACCTTATCAATAATAGAAAATAAATAGTAAAGAGAAATAGAGCAGACCAGACAAAATTTAGTTGACCGAAGACGATGAAAAAAAGAAAAAAAAAAAAAAAAAGAAAACGTTCCTATATTCCATCTATCCATCCAATCTATCATGTCACATCTTCAATATATAAATATTTGAAAGGCACGTTTTCTTCATTTTCAAGATGATGAGTGGAAATAGAAGAAGAAGAATAAGAAAAAAAAGAAAAGAAATTGTCAAAATCGAATTAGAATCACGCGATAAACAGGAAATATTTAATATAGCAACCAAAACGAACGAAGAATTCAAATAACGAAGCAAATAAACACACTAGAGACAATTTGTTCTGTGTTTTGGTTTAGTTTTAACTTGGAAGATTAATCGAAACATGCAAACTATGTGCATCAGGGAAATCGTCTCTCGATCTATGTTAACAACTTTTTCTTTGCCATGCCGCACCATATATATATATAAACTAATGAGCGCATATACTTAAACTAATATTGAATGTTAGAAAAAAAGAATTGTAGTAGTCGTCACCGTCTGTGTAAATTTGTTCATTTTCACAGTCAACTCAATAGTGACACCTGAAGTTTGCTTGATGATGTTTGTCTCGAAAACGATAGATATCATGTTTTTTTTTTCTCTTCATGTTTTTTTTTTTGAAAAAAAAAGACATTTGGTCGCAATTAGTTGAGAACGATTGTATGTTTGCTTCAATGCGCTTTCTCATCTTTTTGTTCTGCTTCTTGACTTTCTTTTTCACCTGCCCGTCTTTTCTTTTTTTTCTTTCTTCATCGATGGATAATAATGATGCACACACATACACATACACATACACAGGAAAACTCTTCTTTTTTTTTTGCCGGCATAAAAGTGTCATTGATTGTTCATCATCAGTGTGCATGTGTGTTTACTACTCAGGCAGTAACTGTGAATTATTTAGTATATGTCCATATAGTAAGCGTGCGCGCGAGCGAACGAGAGAGAACGCGCGCGCACTTCTTCGTAGTCAATTGAGTGTTCACGTTTGAAGATGGTCGTATGTGAGAGAGAGGAAACGATTAGAGACAATTGACGAATCAACGCTGTATTGATGCTTATCGCTCGTTCGTCTAGGTTCTTTTAGTCTCAAATCATGTCTAGTTCGTTGATCATATCTCGAACAAAATGAGACTTTTAACATCTACCTATCATAATCGTTTGTTGTTTCTAATTTCAAATGTCTTCGTTTGTATGAAATGTGCATGTGCGCGCCGTGCAACATAACACAGAAAGAAAAAAGTGACGCAATTCATTCGTATATTGCCGCCATCAGTGATTATCACTGATACCTAAATACGTTCTCATATTCAGAATTTTCTTCTTCTTCTTTTTTTTTTGAAGTCATCATGATGCCGAGTCGGTTGAACAAGAGAAAAGGCGTGAATCTATCAAACAAGTTGACACCTAATTACTTGACAAAAAAAAGAGAGCAAATCTCCGTAAGAAGCAGATTGTTCACACACAAACGAATATTGTAAGAGATTGGATAGACGAAAAGCAGTTCATGATGAAGTAATTTGATTTTTCTTTTCGTCTTTTTGATGGATTAATCGAAGTGTTACACTACTTAAAACAAAATCAGCATCACTTCATATTATTGTTTTGTAAACTTTCTTTTTTTGTTTGTTTCATATTTTGATAACAAGTTTAATGAAAATAATAATTGAAATAATTGTTCGATGAAAATTTCAAGTGTTGAGAAAAATATTTTCATACAAAATAAAAATAAAAACAATCAGATATTTTTCTATGAAATATTTTCTAAATAAGATATATATATATATATATGCGTATGTATATTTATTTATTTATTAAGTTTTTCTATACAACAGATATTGTTATAGAAGAAAAGAGAAGAATTTAAGGTCAAGTATTATATGAAGAGTTTATAGACAGACAATGAATGAGAAAAATCGATGATGCCAATGATGAATGAATAAGGTGAGAAAGAAAGATCAGAAGATGGATTATAGCTAAAAGAAAGTACTTAAACAAAAACCACATGATTAACGATTAATTAAAGAATAAAAATTTAGTTAAATCATTTCGATATAATAATAGAATTTTAAATTTAATTGTATGTATAATAGAAGAGATTTTATATTGTATAATAGATCATTGACTAAAAATGAATAAGTGTTTGTCTACTAACTGGAAATAAGTAGGAGCAGAATGTAAAACATTGTGAACAGATGGTACTCTATCAACAATAGTGTATCGAACAGACATTATGTCAATATTCAAAGAGGAGAACAAAAAAATCTCTATGAGATATATCAGTTTGTAATCTTAGAGATTAAACTAAACTACACGAACTTGATTTATTTACAAGGAGAAAACAACATTACAAAGGTTTTTTTAATTAAATAGATAAAATAAAAATTATTAGTTGACTTTTTCACATTGTTTATTAAAATGCCTGGAGTTCGAAATTTGAATAAGACGTTTTTGGCAAAATTTTAGCTGAAAACTAATTGTGTCCAAAATTTTCAGATCCGAATCCGTCCGAGCTGTACTTTGATACTCTCAATAAAATTTTCTGATCGAAATTGGATAGTCGCTCAGAAAATACGACATAGTGGTTTCCGGTTTGTTGTATTTGATGATTAGCGTGCCCTACACATTTCTCAGACTACTAGAATTCGCCAGCTTTGAGTCCGAGACCAACTCAACGAGTTTTACCTTTCGTCATCAAGGACAACAAGCGTCGAAATCTTTTCTCAGAGTTCCTTAACAACGGATAAAGACGCTGAATGGCAAGACTTCGGCTGTTCCAAAATCTTTCAATACCTTCGTTCGGATAAAATTTTATATAATGGGTAGTGATACATTGATTTGTCATAGTTGTCGTATAGTCAACATAAAAAGTGTAAACTGATCAAATTATAATTTTAGGAAATAATCTAGGTCATTGTTTGTGAGCTTACCAAAATATTTAATAGAGTATTAAGAATTGCTGTAGATATAATGGATATAAAGAGCAGACTTACTTGCTAGTTAAACCAATGATTAGAGTAATAAGAATGTTAAATTAAGAAAAAACGGAAAATAACGAGTGAATAACAACAAGGTTAACATAAAACAGAAAAAAAAAATTCCCTTTGAAATGCAGAAACAAAAAAGAAGGATTGTTTCTCTGACGATCGATTATTTTGAACGACAACTATAAAGAACACATGTAAATTCCATATTTCAACCCGAAAGAAGCTGCGCTAACAAGCTTTTATCGTCAAGATTGAATAGAACTCGTTGAGTTTCCTTAAAAAATGTTGTTTTTGAAATATTCAAAAAATGTTTTTCAAGTGAAATCTAAGAAAATTATCTTTAAACAAAAGTAAAAAAACCCCATAAGAACTGAAATACTCCAATAGCATCAAGTCTCGGTAGTCTCAATACTTCGTGAAAATTTATTTTTTTTATTGTTGAGATAATTCTCAATGAAATGAATATCATATACAGAATCAGCAGAAAAATATGTATCGAATGGTCTACTCAATACTTAACACTATATTTCGTCAAATTTTAATCTTAGAAGGATCACAGGTCAGTTTATTCGAAAACAGCAATACGCGGATCGAAATTCGACGAAAACTTGTTTTTTAGTATTGAGTATATAATTCAATGTAGATGATCAAAATCTCTGAAAACAAATCCATATATATGGCGTTCCGTTATCATAACGAAAAATTAATGCACAANTCTTTTTCTGAGTTTCTGTTGTCTTTTTTAGTGAACCTTTGAATTCTGACGATCAGATACCTTTGTCTTTCTTTTTTGTTTGTTTACTCTTTAATTAACTGTGAAAATAAATAAATTTGTATTACAGAAAAACAAAAAATATTTTTCGGGGAGTATCCAAAAAATTCGGGGCCCCCGGCCCGAAAACCTTTTTCAACCCCGATCTCCGCCCCGACTCCGGCGGGGTCGGAGCGGGGCCTGGGGTTAGGGATTCCCCGTTGATCTCTAGTCTATACGTATATGTTTAGACCAGTGCAAAGCTTTACGTAATATTGATGCACGATCACCGTTGCAGGATTCTATTCAGCCACTGATTGCACTGACATGTGCATTTATTACAACACTCCAGACACTAACTCTATTAAAATATGCCTTTGTTGTAGTGGTATGTTCGAATGCTTTCAGTGAATACTGAAACTTTGTATCGCTACTTCTGATATTCATCTAAACTACTATATATATTTTCTAACCATTTCATCTTCGATCTTGAACTATTATATAAAAATTTTCTCTTACTTTATTCAGTGTATTAGCAAGTAAATGAAGTGTATGTCCATTCAATAGACCAAAATCAAGATATTTCACCATAGTTTTATCAGTATCTTCAATTGATGATGGTGCAGATATTGTTCCTGATGTCGTACGTAAAAAATAGACACAATTTTTTTTACTTAAATTCGATGGATAAATATCACGACATAAATAAAGTATTGTACGAAGATATTTAACAAGTTCATTTCTCTAAAAACAAAAGCAACAAAATTTTTCTTACAATACTAAAACAATTATTAGATATTTACATATCGTTTTGGTTTTGGTCGTGATTCAGGTGTTTGATTTTCTCCATCACCATTTGTTCCTTCACCTGTTTGTTCAACATTATCTGACGTACCATTTTGTACACCTGTCTGTGATGTTTGATTAGCTGATGAATCATTTACTCCTGATTGTTGTTGTTCATCAACACCACTATGTGTAGCAGCTGCTTCTTCATTTGGATCAAAATCTGGATTAACAGCAAGTTGTTCTTCAATCCATTCTTCTTCGGCTAAAAAAGAAAACAAAAATAATTTGTTTTTTTTTCTTTATTTCTCATAATTTTTTTATTAATTACTTATTTCAACTTGTTCTTCACGTAATTCTTCGAACACTTCTTTATAGAATAACAATGCATTTTCATCATCAACATTTGTATCAGCTTCGTTAAGAAATTTTGCAATTGCTAATTCATTAGCACCATCATCACCTTCCAAAAAATCTTCAAATGCTGGATCTACTTCATCAATATTTAATATCGTATAAATAGAATCTTTTAACCAACGAAAACGTAGATCATCCATTGACTTTCCTTTTTTGTTCTAGAAAAAATGAATGTAAATGTACCATAAAATAAATAACGACACAATGTTTTAAGTATGAATTTGCCATTAATAGTCTTTGTTACTAAGTAACAGACACTCTATTGGTATATGTCGCTAGTAATCATTTATATATTTTGCTAAATAAATAAAAAGTGAAATAAAAATTAATTTTTACAAGATAAGAAAAAACTTTTCTATTCTTTTTTTTATGTTAGATTTTTTTAATTAAAAGAAAACAAAGTTTTCAGTTTATTGATTGTCTCATTTTGTGAGTTCATATCATATTATCATCGTATTTATTTTTAATGTACAACAAGTAGTTCATTAGCTTCTTTACGAAATATTCTTTTATTTAAATTATTTATTGATAATGATAATGTTTTTAAAATTATCTTAGTTTTGATTATTTATTTGCAATAATAATAACAACAGATAAACTACGAACAAGTTTTCATCCATGAATTATTCTATTTAATAAGAATTATTGTGTTTCCTTTTTCTTTGCCTATTGGTATTATCATCGGTATAAGTAAATTACCTTTTGCCGCAATGTGATGGCCATAAGTGGCTTTATGCCAGCATGGATGAAAATCTCCAATTCAGATGTATATTTATTTATTATATTTTATTATTTATTCATTAAAAAAAAAGAATTTTGTTTTATAGAAAACAAATGGTAATCAGAAATTGAGTAGTGACCGATCAAATAATAATAATAACAATAAGGGTCAAGCACAAAATGAAATCAATTTAACAGGTCAGCAATGAAATTATTCATCATACGATAACTCGACAGAGAATTCTATTTTTTTACTGTTCAAAAACGAATTGTAAACATAATCGTCATAATCTGCCGATTAGAGTCTGTCTGATTCAGAGCAACAATCAAACACAGACTAGAATATTTCATTGAAATTAGGAATTTGGATTATACCTGTGCAGAATGAAGTTTCTTTTTGGTTCTGCACATGCCTAGTCCAGGTTTAATTCCAAAAAATATTCTTTATTTTATATTAAATATTATTGATAAAATATTAAATTCAATTTCAGGGCAATATCGAAATAAATCTAATGATCAACAATCATCAACAGATTTAGATGAACAATCAGAGAATTTCTTTTCATTTCAATCTCGACGTTCATTTAGTCGAGAACGTTTATTAAATTCATTTGGAAAAGTAAGCATTTCATAAAAAGTTTAAGTATGTTGAAAAACATTCCGCGTTTTATTAAAAATATACACTCGTAACAATCTTGAGAAAATGTTTCAATTAAAATAATAATAGAAGAAACTTCATGTTTTGAGTTTATACTTTTTTTTTCTAAAATAAAATCGACAAAACAAAAAGTTTTTCAGTGCACTATGAAGAAATAATTGACAATCTACACTTAACGAGAAGAAAAATTTGATATGAGTATAAATATGAATTCTTAGTAAACTTTTTTAATTGATCATGAAACTTGATACACACAGTTGCTTTCCTCTATAATTTTTTCTTATTTTGGAGTTTTTGTCTGCTACGCTTTTCGCTATTCAACAATGATTATAGGTTCTTTGTTAATATTTTCGTAACATTTCAATAAATTTCTTTTTTACATGCCACCTTCATTCTTGTGCAGCGCTGTAAGTGTTTATATCACATGTCGGTAAATCGAGGTTTATGGGAAGTGAAATAGGAACCACGCTTCTATTAAACATGCGACCAATTATCGATTTCTCAAAGATCAGACGACTTCAAAATTGAATATTCTATTGTTTTCCATTCGATTATCTTTCACTAAAAGCTTGGACTGTTTCAAATTGATATGTCAAAGTTCTTTGAGAAATAGAAGAAAGACTGATGACTTTGATCCATCAAGTGAAGAATTTTTTCGTACCATGTTAGCAAACAAACAATTTCTCAGTCATTTATATTTTCTTTTTTTAGGGTTCTGATTTAAATGGAAATGATTATTCATTTTCATCAAATAATCGTTCATTAATAAATTCAAATACAAATCATCAACGTCGTTTACATTCCATATCATCATCGTCATATAATGATGGTTATATAACAAAAACAAATAATCGTAATAATTTAACAAATGGAGATAGTTTAGAACGTTTATCAAATAATAATCATGAACGTATATATGGAGAAAATCATTCTGATATAACAATAAAAACAAATGAAAATAAATTTGATCGGCTTGAAAAAGATTTTGTAAATAAATTTTTGATTGAAAAAAAAAACGACAACAATTTGTTTTCTTTCTCTATATTTTAGCCATCATTAAATGGACGAGATTTATCATCAAATAATAAAGAACAATCATCAATATGGAATAATGCATCGTCAAAATTTCGTATTTCAAATCAAGGAAAATTTTCACGTACATTTGGAACAAATCGTCTTATACCACGCCGTGATCGTTTATTAAGTACACCAAATAATTTAAATATAAACAATCGATCCGTAGTACATGAATTACAAACAAGTTGTATAACACAAACAAAAAATTTAGATAAACGCAGTGATTTTTTAAATTCATTAAAAAATAATTCAAACAACGAAGAAAAAAATTCAAATCAACATAATTTAAATCAATCATCAAAATTTATAGGAAATTCAAATGAAAATTTTCAATTAACTAAAGAAACATTACTTTTATTATCTGTACCTGAAACATCAGAAGAAAAAGAGTTCAGTATTAAATAATGCCAAACATGATTTAAAAGGAGTGTTGAAATATAGGGGTAAAAATATGGAATCCCCTCCAGCCTTTCCCGATGTTAAAACGAAAATTTTTTCAATTTTAGATTTTTCATCATTTATACAGCTTTGAAATGTCCTCTGCGAAATGTCATATAAATGAGGATTCTTCGTTGTTAGTTAGTACTTTTATTGAACCTAACTCTCGAAATTCCTTGTAGAAAAACTCTAGCTGCGATAATTCTTTGTATGCAAAATTCTCCTAATGATAGTTTTTTAAAAGAGTTGAAAGCATGGCCAGTTTTCCATCACTTTAGTTTGAAAAAAGGTCCTGATACATACAGAAAAATTTGTTTTTCTTTTTTCTCGAAATCAATTTTTACACGAAAAAGTGTAGAATTACCCTCGTTTCTTCTAAATAGTACGTTCGATTGAACTGAAACTTTTTCTTGCAGCTATTGAACACTGTTTCAGATATCTAATTTTTGTTTTGTTTTGAAAAATGTTGTACCATTGATTTTCGGCAGATTTTACACAAAAACAGTAGTAAAAAACCATGTATTTTTGGAACTACTCAGTATTTTGAGCTTTTTGTTTGAATGGAAGAAGATAAAATGGAACTAAAAAATGTAGGCACTCTAAGCAGTGTCTAGTATGTGCAAAAACACGATTCTTTCAACTCTATCGGACTCGTTGCGGCTGAGAAAGCCGAGCGATTTTTAGAGTTTATGACGTAGATATTTGCTAGAAGCAAGTATTTGGAAATTTGCAGTCTGTAACAATTTTTTCTCTTCTCATCGATATCTGTCTCTTCTGAACGTTTCAAATATTTTTCATGAGATGTTCTTTAGAAACTCTGAAAATGGAGGGGTTAGTTCTCTTAAACATACGCTCCTTCTCTTTTGGGGTTTTTAAAAATCTCTTCACAAAGTATCGAGGCGTACCGTCTCAGTTTTATTTCGTCCTATCATGCATTGAAAATTTTTAGGAGGTACGTGGGACCAAATCACAGATGTGCTTGTAAACTTTTTGAAAAATATCAAGCTTTCGATTTTTTATTAATAAAATTGGGAAAGCGCTAGCTCAAAAACTTTTTTTTCTCCTAATACTTGCCACATTTTTTTAATTAAAAATCGAAAGATTCCTATTTTTCAAAAAGCTTAAACATACACTTAGGACTTTATCTCATATACCTGTAGGAAAAATTATAGCTCAATAGAACACAGTAAGATCAGAGCCGTAATCGGATCTCGATTTTTTAAAAAATTTCTTTCAAAATCCTGAAGATCTGCTTTTAAATATTTGAATCCGACTAGTTGTACTCTCACGAAGAACGAGAAGTGATACAAAGTAGAGGATTCTCTTAGAGAAATCATCACAGACTATGACAGATATAATTGCAAGAACAAAGACCACTGCGGAATTAATCTGAAATTTGTCCTTTACTTATCTTTCATCATCGACATATAGTAACCATAGGTAGAAATTCATAAATCAAAACATATATTGATTAATGGCCTCTTTTATAATACTAGCAGCTTCATTGTGTTTCACATTTGAATCCTACATGGATTGCGTTAACAGTTTTTTGTTTTTGAAAATTTAGATTATTAATACGTATGGGTTGGCATGATAATATGGCTTATGAAATAACAGATAAAGATAAAGAAGAATATGAAAAACGAATAAAATTTTTACCGAAAGTAAATAAATAAAAAAAAATTTATATAAAAATATTAAATAAATATTTTCCTTTTGTTTTGTCTTTAGACAGATAATCGATCTGCAGCATTAATAACAGCTTTACATCGTCGTTCATTACCATGTATAAATATTCGAGATGTACTTCGACTTGAAATGATTGGTTCAACATCAGACGATGATAGTTCAGATGAATAACATTAAATTTTCTTCTCTTAAAAAAAGAACAAAAAAACCGGTTTTTTTTTCTCTCTCTCTCTCTCTACACGAGTTCATTTATTGTTTTCTTATTTGCCATGAATACATTTTTTTTTTATTGTGTTCTTATTTTTGTATTTGATCTCTGTACTTGAAGAACACTAACTGCTTTGTTGTTTTTTTCCCCTTTGTTATACATATATATATACGTGTGTGTGATGTTTATTTGTTCTATTGTTTTTTTTAACAAACGTTCCACTCGATATGTATTGTTATACATATAAAACAAAAAAAGAACCATAACTATCTATTTTATAATTGTTGATCGTTTCATTTTTTTTTCGTCGCTTATTCAGCTTTTGTTTTGCTAATGACGTTTCTGTCGTTTTTTTTTTCGTTTATGTTGTTGCATTGCAATGCATTGCCGTATCGTTTTTATTATTATTTTTTGGTCTCTTTCTTGAATATATATTGAAAATATAATACAACAAAAATAAGGAAAGCACGAAAAACAAGAAAATGCTTTTGAATATCAAGTTTCAGACTGATTTATTCTAAAGACAGATTGGCGAAAATACAACGCAGTGTCATGATTTAGAACGTATCTTAAAAATTGTGGGAAGAATATCATTAAAACCGTAAGATATCACCGGTACTTATTAGATAAAGACTTATTGTGTAAAAACAAAGTAATGTGATATTTGAGAAAAATAAAAATTCTGTCACGATTCAATATGAGAAAGTAATAAAATAATGATTCTACAAAAGCTATATCATATGCATATATATAGCTGATAAATTGTAAAAATTGAATAAGTCACAACAAATGATGCTTTCGACTATTATCATCGTATGTCTTGGACTTTCTGTCTATGGTTTACCAGTAAATATTCAAATTTTCTTTATTTAAATTCATTCAATTTCTATGATAAATTAGGTTGAGAATAATGATCGACAATTTTTGAAAGATGTCAATCCCGAATTGCTTGGTAAAGAGATATCTATATAATTCTTAATACAATTTATTAACATTTCTAACAATAGGTGGTGGTTTCGAAGGTGATATGATCTTGCCATCAGATTTCAATCTAAGCCGTGGAGCTGCTATTTATGGAGCACGACGTCGTTGGCCTAACAGAATAATTCCATATGATATATCAGCTATTACAGGTAGATTTCAAAAAAGAAAACAAGTAGATCTTTGTTTTTTATTCATAATTGAATAATAGATGCTAATGATCGAACTACAATTAAAAATGCAATGAATAAATTAATGTTCGATGTTGGAACATCTGTACCAGGTCAAATAGCACGACAAACTTGCGTCGTTTTTCGACCAGCTCAAACTGATGATAAAGAAATACTTAAAATTCAATATGGTAATGGATGCAGTGCAACAGTAAGTTAAAGAAAATAAAAACCTTTTAATAATTTATTATCTAATACAGATTGGATATGGTGAAAATTATGAAAAAACACTTAATTTACAACCAAGAGGATGTTTTCATAGTGGTATAATTCAACATGAACTTAATCATGTTCTTGGTAAAGTCTAATTAAATAATTTTAAAGAGATTGAATTTATCTAATATTTTCTTTTTTAGGCTTTTTTCATGAACAATCACGACCTGATCGTGATTCATATATAACAATACATCAAGCAAATATTATACCCAATCAAGTAAATGGTCGATTGTGTTTATTAGTATTAATTTCTTAGCTTTTAGGAACATAATTTTAAAAAATATGCTTGGGGAAGCGATTTACAATCACAAGGATTCTCATATGATTATAGTAGTTTGATGCATTATGGACCAGGTTCTTTTTCCGTAAATGGCAAACCAACAATTACACCAATCAATAGCAATGTAGTCATTGGTCAAAGAGAAAAACTCAGTGAAACAGACATTGCAGAAATTCGTCAGTATTATAGTTGTTAAGAAACATTTTTCAATAAATGAATCGAAACAATGTGATTGAAATTTTTTCATAGTGACTTGTTGTTAAATTAAACAAAATCAAAGACTTTGTAATTTGAGAGATATGAAATCTATGAAGAAAAAAAACAGACAGTAACTTTGGTTATAATGTCTTTGTTAACAAAGTTTTATCATAAAAAAAAAAGATTCAAAATACCGTTTGATGACACAAGTATCGATCCTTTTTATCGTTTGTTTAAAACGTACTGATTATTCTATGCATAATTTAATCATTGTCAATTAAAGACGATATTTGTAACATCGTTTTATGCTTGTTATCAATACATGAAACGAATTTTTATGAGTGAAAAAATTTGAAATAATAAAAAAATAATTCATTATGATTTGGATACAGAACCAGAGTAAATAAGAATATGTTTCTATGTCATCAAAATTGACTTTTTTTTTATCGAATCGTATGACGCCTAATAATATTTCATCAGCTAGCTTTTTACAACTAACCAAATGATTTTTGGCATGCTTGGTTTTTCACGAAGATCTCTCAAAAACGTATCTTCATCAATACACTGAACTGTGTTGATTATGTATACCAGTATATTAAGGTTTCCCTACAAAAATCAATCTTGAGTTATGTACATCCAATCATATAAAATTGTCAGCTCTCTATCATGATATTCGAGGAAGATATTTAACAAATGAAAGTCAAAAATAGCTCATGTCGTAACCGTAAATTCTTTGTGGGCTCTCGTGTAACTGTTTTTATTTGAAAGAAAGTACTAAACTGCAGTGTTTTTTTTTTCTGAAAACTCTTATTTTCATGTGAAAAAAAAAGAAATGGCAAGTCCAATATCGCAAAAAATGGTTATACATTTATAGATGTGCTTTTTTATATAATAATAAGCAAGCTTAATTCTAAAGCCAAGTACTGCAACTTCACAAGCTCGTTCAAACAAAAAGAGGAGCAATTAGGTACAATAAAGCTCTTTCGAGAATTCTAGCAAGGCATGAGCAGAGATAAAACGAAAAACGATTTCCGTTTTTTTGCAACAAAAGTCATGGTTTTTAGCAGAAGATGATAATGTTTCAGTTCTGATTTCTATGACGAAAATTGACTTTTTTTAGTAGAGGCCTTAAATATTAAAAAATAGATTTGTAATAGCTAAAAGAATAGTTTACTAGGGTGTTAACTATAACAGCTTATTGAAAACATGATTAGCCGCGAACATTGGGTTGCAAAGTCTCCTGATAGAAAATTTGAAGCATTATGAAATTTGGATTGAATACTTCATTTGGAATTTTCTATTTGACGAATTGACCCAAAAATGAAATAAAAAAGGAATATTGCGTCAAAATCTCGGAGAGTTTTCTAGCTATCTTTATTCTGAGTTTATGGAGTTTCAATAGACACTAAGTTCCTCAGTGTATTCAGCGCATCAAATCACTTATTTATACAGCTCTTTAATAAACAAAATGTTTTTGATATCTCAAATCGAAAGAATAAAAGAAACAATTCATGTTAATATCTCTACAAGATTTATAAGCTTTCCAATAGTTTATTTCATGTGCTGAAAATGTAGGTGAACTTAACTTCTATTGAAACTGGTCCGAATCCTAAACAAAGATTCCTAGAAAACTCTCAAAAATTTTCATAAACGGTTTTTTTTTCATTTTTGGATCAACATATCAGAAAGAACATTCAAAATAAAGTATTCAGTTCAAATTTTATAGTGATGCAAGTTTTCTATTAAGAGATTTTACCACTGTCATTATTTGTGGATAATCAAGACAAGCAGCTTTTTCACTGGTCATCTCAATATTTATATGCGATCATGTTTTTTTACAAGCTTATATAATTCATACTTGAGTAAGCTACATTCCTTTAGCTATTACGAATCTTTTTTTCATGAGATTGTCAGTGCGAAGCTTTAAATTTCGATTGACGGATAAATCAATATTTTCTAAAAAATAAATAAACATTCTGAATATGAGACATTTTTCTCCAAAAGATAACCACGCTATAATGAAACGAAAGAAAGCTTCCTCTTTGTTGCTGCAAACTAGAAAAGTTACGTTTCGACCATTCAGATAATCGAAGTCAACAAGAAACTATCAAGTAGTCATTTCAAAATTAATTACTACGAGAGCATGATTTTAAAGAATACTTTCAATTGATCGTTTGATTCTCTTTCTGATTCGCTATCTATTATGAGCTGTCTTAGCTTTGAGCAAATAGAATGTCATTTAATTTTTGTTGCAGTCTTCGCGTTGAAAATCTCGAAGCGTCGAAAAAACCTAGTTTACGAAAACTTGCATTTTTTGGAAAGCTTTCTGTAAAAATATGGAATGCTATATTTGAGATCAAAGAACCGGGTGTAGGTGCAGATGTAAGCGTGTAAGTAGGTGGGTGCGATACAAGTGTTGATCTTCTTTTCCTGTTCATCTACACACCCACACTCTTATGGACGATGTTATTCAGATTTATCTAAATAAAAGAGTAGAATTTTTTTTTGTAAAATTTGTATTTACTCTTCGATGACGTCGTTCAGAATAATCGAAACAAAAAATATATTTATTTAACAAAAATTATATTTTCTTTGGATGGCGTTGGTCAGATCGATTTAAAGAAAAACTTTTAATTAACAAACTTGATACTTATTGACGATGTTATTCAGCATTAGCCAAATAAAAAGAAAAAAGTATTATTTTGTAAAATGTATACTTACCTTTTCATCACTGTTCAAATTAATCTAAATAAAAGAAATTATTTATTTATATAAATATCATACTTACTCTTGAGCATTTGAGTTCAATTTAATTTAAAAAGTTATTTACTTATTTACATTATAGTTACCCTTCATCATGTTGCTGCACCTAACTGATCAGTTAAATGCATTCGATCAGTGGTATGATTTCTAACGAAAGACTTATTTCGGATTTTAAAAGGTGTATCGTTAAAATTAAATGATATTTAATGACTGAAACATTTATTCAAACACATAAAAGTATCGTTAAACAACTGCGTAAAGAAAACAATATCATGATCGTATAAGATCATATACGATCTTGATCATCAGACTTTGTAAGAATTCTATAGAAAGAATTTTGTGGCAAGAAACATATTAAATCTTACAGCAAGATATTTGTGAGCTTTTGTAAGATCATACAGTATGAATCTTACGATATCGGATTGTCAATAGTATTTTGTAAGATCTTCGTATGATTTTTTCACCTGGGTATCGGTTGCCTTACCGCTGAGCATACTCCCATTGTGTCCCCAATAAAACAGAGTTTCTCCTTACGTGCGCGACTGCGTTTCTCTTCGAATGAAAAAAAAAGAAAAATACTCTTGTCTTTTCATTACATTTATTTCTTTGAACTAGACGAAAATCAATTACATTTTCTTTTTCACATATTCGAGATTCTTCTTCCATAGTTGAAGATCAAAATGATCCGATGGTACTGAGCGTTGTTCTATTTCAACAACTGGTTCAAAAAATAGAAGTGCATTTGAATTCTCACCCATGTTGTTATACACCAAACTAATACTGTTGTAAGATTGAGCCAAATCAGGATGATTTGATGGAAGAGATTTTTGTTTAATTTCGAGTGCTTTTTGAAGAAATGAAAGTGCATTTGAATAGTCATCCATGCTATCATACACCGAACCAATGTTGTTGTAAGAATTAGCTAAACTAGGATGACTTGAAGGAAGAGTTTTTCGTCCAATTTCCAGAGCTTTTTGATAATATGAAAGTGCATTTGGATAGTCACCCATTTTGCTATACACTACACCAATGTTCTTGTACGAAGCAGCCAAACTGGTATCTGTTGGAGAGAGGATCCTCTTCTTTATTTCAATACATTGTCGACAATAAGTAGTGGCATTTGTATATTCATCTTGACCCATCTTCACTACTCCGAGATAGTGATAAATATCTGCTTTTTTCTAGATCAGTCATTGTTGGGCGGAGCAAGATCTCATAAACCTCTTGGACTTTGTCGAACTGTTCAAGTTTAATCAGTAGCATACCCAAACGATTCCATCCTTTCTCATCGGGATAAGTTTCTTCGCGCATGTGTTTCATAAGAACATGTAGTTCTGGATCATTATCACTGGTCAATATTAAATTGACTTCCCAAAGACGATTATTTCCATCGATTTGTTGTATTGATCCAATGTGAAAAATGGAATGCATAGAAAAGAGAATTTTTTCTTCTCTTTTGAAGTAACTGACGTCACGGATGTTTGCATATGGCGTTGACGGAATGAATGGATCAATTTCAATGACGAATAAAATACCAACAAGTTCTGATGATTCCATCGTTCGACGAGCAAAGTTGAAGGATACAAGACGATGCATACTAGTTGATAAAAAGTTATTAAATGATAAAAGTCCACCTTTAGCCTTCACCATTTGATCAAAATCAGCTTTCGGCAGTCCTTGACCACGATACACAGTAAATGAATTCGAAATTGATTGTCCGGCAAACTGTTGAGCATGAAGCTGAGCGATATGGTTGTGGAGATCACGGATGAAAAATCCCATGATTATAATAAGATCCACCTCCATCATTCTTAATGATCAGTTTAGCATCGAATACAGAAAACATTGATAGGTGTACCACCAAATCGGCGAATGATCGTGGTATTCTCGTTCGAGTTTGTCCACATTTTTCAGTTCTTTTGGATTGTCGGCGAATAGTAGACGACAATAAGTAGTAAATTTATCGATGTTTTGTTGGATGAACTCGATGGTTAACAGGATCTCTTTCATTATCTGTGTGTACATAAATGAAGAGTCCAAGTGATCAAGGTTTTGTTTGTTGTTTTCACTACTGACTGTGACAAAACTGATCGATATCATGTTTTGATCACATTTATCTGCCGCTTGTTGAAGTTCTTTAGAGATTGAGTCCATGTCTGTAAATACAAAACTGATTTTTGGTCATTGTTTAGTCCAACCTTCATATTGAACATAGTCCTTACTCCAAATATAAATAGTACTAATTTGTAGAATGTCATGGATAATCGGAACAGTTATTTGTCCGAAGGCATCAGAGAAAATGATAATTACTTTCTCTTGAATATCGGTTATGAAATCGATACATTCATTCACATCAGTGAATGGATATATCTCGTTGATTACTTCTTTTAATTTACCGATGGCATTCATATAATCGTCATTATTTTTGTCGTCAATATTGGCATCGAGCCACACCAAAACGAAGTTCTGAACCATACGAGCATAAGAAAGCTGTTGCAGCGTTATGCTAGCATGTTCAGATGATGTGACATCAGCAATAGCTGTTGTTGTCGACTTTTTCTTTTTGTCCATGATATGCATAGTGTTTTATCAATGAAAAAAAAAAAATAAGTTAAATTTATATAGTATATTGATATTTTTTTCTCGACGCTTCTATTTATTTTTGATTGCTGTTATCGATTGAGTTCTCTTTTTTTTTCTTTTGTCATGTGCTTCATTTCAATCTTTTTGTCGGTTGTCGTCTCTGGTACCATAAGAGAACGAAGGAATGAGAAAAATTATGATAACATAATTTCATACACTGTGCCACCTTTCACTTTTTATAAGATCTGGCAGTTTTTTTTCTCTCTTTCTTCTTATGTTGCCGTAAATGGATTTGTAAGTAGAAACCAAACAGTGGTACATCTCGTTCTTTGAAAATGCATGATGACTTCTTATTTAGGTGGAGTTTTTTTTCTTTCCGTTCAGTTGAGAGTTCTGTACCATATGAAACGGATGAAAGTGTACCAAAAAGGTTGTTATTTTTCTGAAGAATTATTTTTAATGAAAAATCAATTCATTTTGACATAGGATACAAAAAGTATTTTGTGCAACTATATTCCCACATTATTCTTTAGGCGAAACTAAATGAAACAGTTGTCATCAATTCGTTTTAAAAACGAGATATAAGATCTATGATATTTTTCTATATTTACTTGATCATGTTATTGTAATTTATATTCATGTTAAAAATTTGTTCATTTTGTATATTTTCTCCAAGACCGAAACTGAATTCATCGTTTATAAGATTATAAAACTTCTTAATTGGTCGAAATGTCAAATTTAGCGAAAAAACATGTTTCTATATTGTACCAATTAGAACGATCAATTTAATGCACATTTAATTATATACACCACAAATCGATTCTTGGGAAACAAACCTGATCTTGTGCTAATTGAAAATTAACACATATTGTGTTAAAAATCCATGAAATTTTGAACATATTGATACACCAGAATTGTTAACTAAGTTTTTCATTGATTTTTTAAAAAATCTGTAATTCATTCTAATTTTCCGTCACTGAGAGAAATAGAAAGAAAATGTCACAAAAAATGTATTTGTCGTTCACTGTATATATATATATATATGATGGAACTGATTTTAAAGATTTCTATAGATCATACCATACACAATAAGTTTTCATGAAAATTTTTGACCAACATATTATTTTATGTAATACTCGAAAATGATATAAAGTAATTAAGAAATTGAAGTCTGCTGCATCATCAAATCAACAAAAGTTATGAATCGCGATTAACAATGAACATAATTAATTTTATTGAATTACTTTGAATTGAATTTATGCTCTTACAAACGATAATGTAAAAAAAATTTAAGTCTACTGAATTGGAAAAAAGTATACAGTCAATTCTTAAACTTTCTTTGAGACAAAGAACTATGACATGATTTTCGTCTAATCAATGAAAAACGCACGTTTACTTAGCTAATATTGTGGGTCTTGTAACAATACTTAAAAGCTTTTATCAACCAGAAAGTAAATTATATCAATTAAATTCATGTTTAGTCATAACAATTGAATTTTCGTTTAAAGTACGAGACTCACGAATATATTTTGAATTTGAATTAATGATCTTTGATGTGACGGAGAGTTTCCAAATGTGGCAGTCTCGTTTTCATTAGAGGTTTTTAAAAAATGTTGATAATATAGGAAGATGCAACTTTGTAAGAACGTTTGAACAAATATCGTACGACTCTCCGATCTTTATATCATCGTGACACAAAATAGCGAATCGAGTTATACGTCAAAAAAGTAATTGCATGGCATTCGAGTTTCACTTGATTGCCAAATGCAATGCGAGGCTATGATTGTCGACTTTCAAGAAAACTGATACTTCATTATAAAATAATTTTCCCTACGAGACATTTACAGTTCACAATATAGAATTTCTTTCTTGTCGCTTTGATCGAAAATTCGAATTATTCACGTTTTTTTTTAATCCACTGATCGAAATGCAACAGGAATTCTAATTAAATGTGGCAAATCTTATTATTACAAGAACTCTATCAGCATGTATCAAAATGTTTTTTTTTGGGTGGTTTTCTCTAAGAAAATGAAGGATACAGATTTGATCAAGAAATTTCATTCTCACGTTTGAACTACTATTTTCTGACTTTTGTAGTCGAGATCATCGCGATCAAAAGTGATAACCTCGGATAAACGAATAAATAAATTCAATGTGAAGCAATCTCAAAGTTCGACTATGGGGTTTGCATCAATATAAGAACGATGAAAGATTTTACATAGAGTCGGTCCTCTTCTGTCGGCTATTTTAATTATCGTTTCTGTTAATCTCGGATAAAAAATGAAGATCTAACCATCACAATCATCATTTTGTGGAATTTATGGTAGATGAACGAAAACTCATATTGAAGATCCAAAAACGTCTGTATTATCTCAAGACATCAGTCTTTTTGACAAACTTCGAAGGAATCTCTAGCGACTCATCGTTCTCTAGGTCATCGCAACACATAGTATGAAGGTCAAATACAAACGCAATCGACTGTCGAAATGCTTTACTATGCACCGCATTTAAAAAACTTGCAAAAGATTAGTTTAGAACGCTTCGCGCATAGTATATATGCACCTCAATAATGATTGACTTTTATTTTGTTTATCAGAAGCCTTTGAACATTTAACATAGTAACACAGGTAATGCGTATATTTAAGTTAATTGGTGAATCTGGACTTCCGAGAAACCATCGTGAAGAACCAAAAGTTCGAAAAGCTGTTCGGTTAGTTATACAAAACCTAGTCTATGAAATATCGTCAGGCATCACAGAATTCGATAAAAAAGGCCAATTTTATTCTGGCAGAAATATGATTTTACGGGTTCTTGAACCGTGTTATTTTGATGAAATGACTGTAAAATTGTACTTTTATATATAGCATGTTTTGAAAGATAAAGAACAAAACTAGAGTCAATAATCTTTTAATGTCCTTTCTAAAAAGTGTATCTTATCTCAGAAAAAGAGGAGTTGTCATAAACATAAAAACCAATATTGACTAGCAATCATTACCACTTCATTTTACTGTTCTAATAAATAGTTTGTTCTTTTATAGTTATATATTCATTTGTTGTAAAAAAGAAACCAAGAAATGTCTTATTCTTTTACAATCATTGTCAGTTTATTATTATTAGCAACGATTAGTCAAATCGATTGTCTTCAATGTTATAAATGTAGTTGTTCCATTATACCAGGTGAAACAACATGTACAAATGACAATGAACTACAATGCGTTATAGAATATGTTGAAGATAGTTATTGTTTTATTTCACGTCTATTAAATCATATAAAATTTGATCATAGTCCTAATTCGGATTTGATGTTTTTAGAATCTCTACATTACATACAAGATGAAGAAGAAATTATCTTTGTGGAAAGTAACTCAACATGGCAAGTGTCTACTATTGTAGAATTTAAGTATGGTTGTGATTGGAATTTATGCAATACACCACGTATTCTTAGTTTTCTTCCAAAAAGTCTTACATATGATATTGATTCAAGTCTTTTAACAAATACATTAATTGCTAAACCTAATGAATTATTTACAACATGTTTAAAATGTACAACATGTGCAAATTCAACCAATGAAGTAACTTGTCCAATATTAACATGTAATGGTACATGTTTTATTAATGGTTATGTTGATGATCCAGTATTAAATTCTGCATTATGTTTATTTCCATTTGAAAGTGTATGTAGAGAAGAAAAACTTGATACATCCGTTCGTATAACAGGAGTATATTATATTGATGATGATATATTTGACATATATGATATAGATATTTGGTGTAAAAAAACAAATTGTAATAATCCAACAAATGCACAAATTATACAACAAAATATTTCTTATTCAATACAAATAAATGATCAAATTTATTTTCGTCCAGATCTTGGTAGTACAACACCATCAACACCAAATAATGATCAACTTGCTTGTTATAAATGTCATTGTGAACATGAAATAGGTGATAATAATTGTAAAGTATTACAATGTACAATTGAATATAAAAATGGAAGTTTTTGTGAAATAGTACGTGATTTTCAAAGTTTTCCCAATATGGAATTTATTAGTCTTGGTCATGTGCAAAGACAATATGTACCTTATAGACATTATATTCATGCAGTAGAAGAAATAATACTTTATAGAAATTTATCATGGCATCCACCATCAGTTAGTATGATTACATATGTATGTGATTGGCAATTATGTAATGATGGACGTATTGTTGAAAAATTAACAACAAGTTTTCAATTTAATGCTGAACCATCGTCTATAGCTGAATATCTTCAAAGTTCTGAACCACTTAGTAGTTGTCGTCAATGTACACTTTGTACGAATTCAAGTCTTGATTTTGATCAATGTGAATCTGTATTATGTTCACCTAATGGACGCTGTTTTATTAGTCAATTTATTGATAATCCTGAGTATAATGATTGTGAATATGCATTTCAATCTGAATGTGAAGATGTTGCATCAGAATCAAGTATTATAATTACAGCTACTTATAGTATTGATGATGATATATTAAATATTGACGAATTAGATATTTATTGTTCTAAAAATGATTGTAATAAACCTGAAACAGTATATGATTTAATTGATCTTTTACAAGAAAATATTCAACTTGATTCATTATTTTTTATTCGACCAGTCGTGAATACTACATTATCACCTATTATTACAGAACCAATGTCAAGCCCCGTCACATCCACATCTAGCTCTGCTACAACATCGGAAACTACTACAGGCTCATCCATTTCCACCATGACAACATCAAATTTTGCAACTATTTACTTATTTCTTATTAGTAGTCTTTTTATTATCTTTCATTAGCAATTGAAAAAGACTTTATTCAAGAAAAATAATATATTTTTGACAATAATCCATAATAATACGATGCAATTAATACTCTAGAAGTCTTTTAATTAAAAGAACTTACCAGCTTTCCAATAAATTGACATTAAACATTATTTTACAAGTTCTTTTAGCAAGTAAAAATGTATGTAAAATTTTATAAGATTTTCATTTATTCAAAACATTATAAAATTGATATATAGAAAATATTCAAAAACGATTGATTATATTATAAAATATTTCAATAAAATCTTTATAAACTGTTATCATCTTCATTATATTTGCTGATATATACAATATAATAATTATTTATATGAGAATAAATCATTGCAAGAAATTCAACAACAAAAGAAAAATTAATTTTATTTTATTTTATTTTAACAATGTAAACAACTTTTCTTAATCAGTTTATTTCTAAGAAATGAAATTATTAGATAACAATTCATATGAGTAGATTATGTAACTGAGTCAAAAATTGTAGCAGAGAATGTAATAAACCTAACATTAATAAATAATAGACAGACAAGCGTTATTCATTTTTTAAATTATTATTCAAAATTTTGAAATTGCAAGAAAAACGTTTTTTTAAAGAAATCAGTTCATTTCGAATAAAATTTAGTTTCATTTTATTAATCACATCATTTTCATTTTTCTATTAGTGTTTTTCTTTCTATAAATAATAACGAAACAAGATGACATTGCCATTTTCATTCTGATACAGAATTTATATGAGTATCTCTTCACTAAACCATGTATAAATTCACAACAATCGATATCTATATTTGAACATTGACATGATTCTATTTCTTAACTGAAATCATCAAAAAAAAGAAAACTATTAAAGAAGATCGGTCTAGAGAATATCTATAAATATGATTCATTGTTTTCACACTAAGAACATTGAAGTACATGTTGTCAATCATACTGAATAGTTTTAAAGGAATATAATCAATTTGATTGTAAATACATCACAATATGCTATTTTATACTTTCGCTTATAATACAACATTCGATTTGATTGGCTTCTGTAAAAACGTACAGTGAATGAGGAGCGAACTGGTATTTTGTTTTTCGTTTAGTCTTCATTTAAATAAGAGAACAAAGAAACAACTATTCATTTATCTGAAATGAAGACATTCTTTTTTTCTGAAAAAAATTTCATCATACGGGTAATTTTTGACTCATATTTATAGTTTGCATATCAATAGAATTTAGTATGCATATATTCATACATTCCAAACTAGTCATATGTTGTTTACTGATAAATTCGATCATGTCATTTTTCACATATTTTTGCAAAAATACATGAAACAAGTTAAAATGTGACATGTAATGGAAATAATTTCATTTGTATATTAACTTGACATATTATTTTATGTTGACACATTTGAGGTTTTCATATTTATTGTAATGGCATCCATTTATTAGTGGCTGTTTTCATCACAGAATACATTTAATACAATAACACAATGTTGATTGCAAAACAAAATAAAATCTTTTTTTCGTATTTGAAAACGATCTATATTTTTATCTATTTGAGTGATAAAATCATTTGAATTGATTCTCATGATAAAAAGGATAATGTCATTATCATATCACATGAGAGATTCATTTTGGTGATGGTTGAACAACTATTTTGCTAACAATTTCTTTTATAACAGTCGACCTCAGAAAATGAAAGAATTCAATGCTAATAGCATCCAAAAAAAACAAGAAAAAAAAAATAATGGAAGGGTAACTTTTTTAATATATTATATACACGAAATGATACCCACCGCTCACCGGAGATGAGGATGAGGACGAAGACGGATATCAAGGAGTGCATCAACAGAATGAGGATAAGGACGGAAAGCATACCACAGAGTTCATCGCAGTTGAGGCTTAATATATACATATTAACAGCAGCTACCGGGATTTATTTAAATCATCCAATTTATCTATTAATATCAAACAATACAGTTTAATTGTACAAAAACAGAACAATAATTGAAAATGATTAGCATCTACCTAAAGATAGTACGTCGGCTCGAGTGTCATTCTTGCTCTCACTCTCAACTAGGTACTTATTCTCGATCTAATCCCTTCCGTTTGATGAGAAAATATGCCGAGAGATTTTATAAAAAAATCTCATAAGTTGCTGACTATTGCGTGTCCGTTCTCAGCTAAAATTGCACTCTAGATAAGGATTACTTTTAATCATAGGTTTCCTTTGAACATAGAACAAAAAAAAATAATAGTTTATTTGACCTATTCCGGAAACTTTCAACTAAAAAAAAAAAAAGAGACACTCTTTTCTATTGATATTTACTTAATTCTATTGTTCAATCTATTATTAGCAAGAACCCTACAAATTGCAGGAGACATTCTATTGGAATAGATATTGCATGTTGGAAAATTGTGTTGGTCATCTCCTATTTATATACTAATCAAAGATAGAGCTACTTGTACGGTCTCATTCATGCATTGAAAAAGGCATGAAAATTGTTTGAACAACGTGGGTTAGCGAGAAATGTTCCTTTCCTACAAAACTCTTATATTTAAAATAAAAAATGATTATATCACATAAGTCATATAGCTATATTATGCTATAACAAGAGTAAGAAGCATATTGTAGTTCCAGCAAAAACTGAAGTGTAAATCTCATTAAATACATAGCTAATTTTTGCGCATCACGTTTGTGTAGATAGAAGATGAGATTAAGAATAATACGCTATGTTAAGTTTCATTTGATATTACCTTGATTGGTGAGATACAAATCTAGTATGTTGCTCAGATTATAATAAGCTTCTTATTCTTGCTATTCATAATGTAATAAAGCTATATAACTTATGTGATATAATCGCTTTTGATTTAAAATATAAGAGTTTTATACGACAAAAAAAATTTCTCTATGAATAGAAGCTATTTAAATAGTTTTTTTTAAAAAATATCATCTTCAGTTCGTGAATGGGATCGTACAGAAAGATCTATCAATGCTTGGCATATACACAGGAGACGACCAATACAATTTTCCAACATGAAATATCTGTTCTAATAGAATTTTTTATGCAATTTGTAATGCTCTTGCTAATAATAGATTGCACAATAGAATTAGTAAATATCATAGGAAAAGAGTGTCTCTTATTGCCTTTTTGTTGAAAGTTTCCGGTACAGGTCAAAAAATAAACAATTGTTTTTTTTTGTAATATATGTTCAGAGAAAACCTACAATTGAAAGTAGTTCTTACCTAAAGCACAATTTCTTCTATCGAATCATGTATTGTAAAGAAATTTTCAATTTAGAAGAGGCATGCAACAATTTGCAAAAATACATGATTCCATAATATAGGAAGAATGAAAAACGACATGCTGTGACTGAATCACAAAATAAAATCTCAATTCATCAATGGGTTGACTTGAAATTTTCTACTAGTATATTAAAAGTTATGAGCTGTAATCTGACAAAAACCAAATCATTTTAGCTCATCTAAGTTTTGAAATATATACAAAATAAAATAAAATAATCTACTTGTTGAATAATCTTGACAGTCACTGTATAAAGAAAATCTTGAATAGTTATCTTCACTACGTCCAAAGCTTCTTAGAAAAGTAAATTTAGAATTCTAATAAAAATCTAACAACAATAGAAAATAATGAGGATAGTTTGAATAAAAAAAATATAACTTTTGACATATTTACTGGAATGAAATGAACTGGATTAATTATTTCCGTTTTTTTTTGTATAGAAATAAAAATATTCATTCTATGTTAATTCATATTTCAAATATATTTCCATTAAATATTTCGTTTTTTTTGTATGTTCAATAATGTATATATTCATATAATATTTTTTCCAACATAGTTCAACTAGCCTATTTATCGTTGGCAGCGAAATTCGTTCGTTCAGTAGTCAACTACGGATGCATATATGAATAATTGATGACATATTTAATGATTATGAATACCACTATCCATTAATAGACATAGTCTTCTCTATATGTAGGCGCTTTCTGCATCGTGATCATTGAATTTTTATGCGAAAAATTTTCTTGCATGTTTTTCTTTTTTTCTTATTGATTAGCTTAAACAATTTTTTTTCTCTCTTTCTATCCAGAATATAGATGGATATATATTTATATATAACATTAACATATGAGATCTTCGAACGTCGTTTTTCATTAGATTCCCTATAGAATTTATATGTATTGACGACTAGTGCACAGCTACGTAAGAAACCAAACTAATCTTTGTTATTAGAAAAACGTCATCTCTAGTATTACTAGGTCGATTCTCGAGTGAGTCAGCAAGTATATGGATGTGTTTAATCGAATCAATCTACAGATAGAGAGAGAAAGAGAGAGAGAGAGAAGAGAAAAAGAAGAAAGCGGAACGGTTGTTCGTCGTTCATTAGTTTGCAGTAAGTAAATTGAATTTTCTGTCATCTCTTTACTATTCTGCATCCGAAATGTCACTTATTCATTCTCGATTTTTTTTCTCATAGCGAGCTTGTTCTTTAAAGATAGATTTGTATATTTGATTAAATTTATGATTGAGGTTTGTTTAGCAATAATTGCGTCAAATATGTTTGTTCACTATTCTTCCAAATGAGGAAGAGAAAAAATTACTGATGAAAAAAAAAAGAACTAAAAGAAAAGAAAATAAAAGACGGAAACGAATATTCATATTAATTTTCTATTAATTTATTTTTCTATAGATTTATTCACGAGAGTCATGAATCATATGTATATGCATATAGAGACCCTTTTCAGTTTTTTATTCATCAGAGAATTATCGAATTTTCTTAGTTGTTCTAGGCTTTCCTTTTTTTATTGCTAAGACTCATTCCAAACGGATGTTCCTGCTCAAAAAAACAAATGAGGAAAAATGACGATTAATACAAATGATTGAGTATACTTCTTTACAATCATTATCGTTCAAATGTCATGGTACACACACCAATCAGCAAACTATTGTGATCTGTTTCTTCTACGTGCTTTCATGTCGACAAAAATGAAAGTCGATATAAAAGAGAATATAAGAATTCTAATGAAATTCATCAGTCAATGTATTGCTTTATGACATATGCAATCGATGCTTCTTTAAAACACGTAACACTAAGAACAATGAAAAAAAAATACAAGAGTCTTTTATGTAAAGAGCCAAAAAAAATGAGAAGAACAGAAAAAAACGAGAGAAATAAATCAACTATGCTGGTTTGCATTCTTTCTACTGTAGTAGTTCAACTCTATGCTTGTATCATGGGCAAACCAAAAAAAAAAGAAGAACATTGCTACCAACTCTAGATTTCTCTGTTCTTTTCCTTGCTAAATAATTGAACTCATACACATGCATCCATCTTCCCGAGCGGCCTAAGTTATAAAAGAGTAACAATCGTAGTAGTTCTGTATTGGATAGCAGTGAAATTAGAATAGAGAGAAGAAAGAACGAGAGACGTGACAGAACAATCGCTCTCATTTTTTTTTCCTCATCTATATGTAGATCCAAGTAAAGACAGAAGCCAAAAAAGAAAGAGGAAAAAAACAGTCAAGAATGATGAGTAATTATTATTGATCGTTTGTTGATACGCGACAATGGGTTGTACAAGTTCGCATCAAACAGGAACAACGAAAGAAAATACAAATTTAGCTTCAACAACAATAATCGATGATGGTCAACAATTAATTAATGATCATTTTCGTAAATGGTTAAAAACTAATCGACCAAAAGCAGACGAATATGTACTTAATGATGTATTATCAACAGCACAACCATCAAACGAAGTTGAAGATTATAAAGCTATAGTTGGCAAAGCACTTGATTTACTTTCTGAACGTCATGATATAAAATCAACAAATAAATTAGGTAAACTTGTACAAAAAGAAATAACATTAGCATCACCAAAAAAAGTTGCACATACAATTGATGTTTTAAAACAAACAGCAGAAAAATTACGCAATGGAAATATTCAACTTGATTTAGAACAACAAACAACAGTAACCCCAACAGTTAATGAAGTAAAATTTGACTTAGTATTTTTAGTTTTTGTTAAATAAATCTAAAATATTCTTATTTAGATCACTAACGATGCAAGTGTACTTGAAAATCAACATATACAACTTTCATCAGGTGAACCAGGCATTGTTTTAAAAGAAGCTTTAGAGAAAGCACGAATTTTATTTTATAAAGTAATCAATTTTTTTAATTTACAGTTAAGACAAACTTAGTTGAATTTTAAGGGTAAACAAGCTGCTATATTTGCTAATCCAAATGGTGGTTATGACGTACGAATTCTTGATGAAAATGATGAAACAGTAAAACATGATGGAAATCTTCTTCGTTCAATTATTGTAACTGAAGTTAAAATGCGTCCCAAACCAACAACAATAAGTTCACCATTATTTATTCCACCACCACCACCACCACCATTATCATTAAAAGTACTTGATGAAAATGAAATTTCTGATGACTTTCGTCGTTCGATCGATGCTGCTCTCAAAGGGCTTGAAGTTGTTTACCAAACATCAACAACAACATCACCAACATCAGAGCATGCTCAAGCAATACATATTGATAAAATTACTAAAAGTACTCCATCACCAACAACACCTGTAGTCATTCAATATGGTGTAACTAATGTTCCGTTACCGAAATCAACTTCAAAAGAAAAAAACACATTATCAAATGATCTTTCAGCTACCACTGATCATACAGTTAATTTAGCTGAAATTATTCATCAAATGGCTGAACAACAAAAAGTTGCTAGTGAACAATTATCAAAAAATAATAATGATGAAAAAGAAAAAGAAACTTTTCAAGCTGATATTCATCCCAAACTTGTTGGACTTATTGATAATATGAATGAATTAATGATGGATACAATTGAAGTAACAACATGTAGTGACATTGGAAGTCCATTATCATCATTACAACATGATACAATAGAAAAAATAGTTACAATTAAACCAATTGATGAATCATCAGGACAAATTGAACGTATTGTTAAAGAAATTAAAGAGCACGGAGAAAAATTTGGATCAAAAGAAAGTCTTCCGCCTATAGTTTCAACAATAAAACAACCATCATCGTATTCAATTGGATTAACATCACCCTTACAAAATGAATCTATAATGACATCATCAACAACGTCAGCTGTTCAACAAAAAACTAAATTACGTAGTGAAAATCGTCCAAAATCATTTATTGCTAATGAAGAAACTCCTTCAAAGAAAGTTCTTTATAATTTAAATAAACAAACTTCACTTGATGAATTAGTACATTTAACTCAAACAGGTTTATCAAATCCAAATTTAACAACATCAATAACAAAACTTGGTATATCAACATCATCAGGAAAGATTGAAGAAGAAGAACAACAAATACCAATTGTAACAGCTGAACCATTAACAAAAATGCCAACATCAATTAGTCAAATTATTGAAGAACATCGAACAATTCTAGATGAACCGTCATCAACGACATTTCCGCCACCACCTGTCGTGACTCCTGTTGACACTCATATTAAAGTGAAATCACCAAGTCATAATGTGACCTATACAGAAATAATTCATTCAGAATCTCGAGATGGTGAACAATCACGTCGTTTTATAAGTGAATCATCTGATCAAAATCCATTAAATGATGATGAACAAACAACAACATTTAAAGTTATTACAAAATCTGAGTTTTCAAATCATCCAACATTAGGTGAAAAAATTATGGAACAAAGTGTACAAGTTATAACTGTTAAAGTACGAAATGAAACAATAAAAACAACAGTACAACACGCATCTTTACCATCAACAACTGATAATGATATCACATATGAAAGACGACCGGTTAGTGAACTTGTCAAAAATTTTGAAGTAGTTGCTGCTGCCAATGCAAGTAATGTTAATACTTGAACTCATTCAAATTTTTTTTCTCTTTATACAATATCATTCGCTTTTTGTTCGTACGTTTTTATGTCTGGTGCAAGCCCTTCTAGATAAAAATTATCTTGGTCTACCATTTAAACAGTGCAATCATTTCTTTTTTTTTTTTAATAATATTATCTTTATCTATTTCGTCTGTGAGTTTATGTGTATGTCTATCGCTTGTTTCGTGTTTTTTTACACTGACCTATTCATAGGTCAATAGTATATCGCGAAAAAAATATGATAGAAGAGAAAAATAAATATAAAAATATATGAATATGCAATTTTCGCCATAGATTAGCTGATCGATTCGATCAAACAGAAGTGTTGAAAATGTTATCATCAATCATTTACTCAGCACATCTTGCATCGATTTGTTCAATCATATTGCATGACAATGACTACAAACAGAATATCAATGTAATGGATATTGTCTTGTTGATTAAACAAATCCTATATAGAAAATATTGACTTCATCAAATCGTTGTCTGCGGTTATTATTTAGTAATTCGTCTATATAAGCAAATACAAAGGTTAAATATTTTCTAAACGTTTCTGATTTATCAAAAGATATATAAAGCTATTTATAACCAATGCATTCAAGACTATTGAATTACCAAAACTAATTAAGATAAATGATCTTGAATGTCAGCATCGATTTTCTATAATTCACACAAATCAAACTGTAAATTACAATAATTCAGTATGATATGATTTTATTTAAAGTCATTTGCACATACACACACACACATATATATATATACAAGTCTTTAATGAATGTTCTTTCATGTGTCGTATTTTGATAACAATAATACATGAAATTCTTATTTAAATTTGTATTGTTTTTAATATTATTAACATCTATATGTTATTGATTGAAAAAAGCGTGGTGTACGAAAACTTTTTAATTTATTAGCTCGATTTGCTTTCATTAAAGCATTCGTTGTCAATAATGATGGTTCAGTATCACCACTATCGGCTGAAGTAGAATTTTTGCATACACTTGTTTGACGCATACTTGCATAAAATTTTCGAGCTGTTTCACAATTTCGATTATTATTCGATCCTTGAGATGAATTTTGAAATGGAGACGTCTTAAGATAAACATAAATTAATTTTTTTTAAATAACAAAAGAAAAAGAAAAAGACAATGATTTGTTTTTTTTTCTTACATGAGCACCGTCCGATTCGTCAACTGTTGAACATACATCATTGTCAGAGCTAGTATTTTCATTATTACTCATAGTTTGAATAGATAATTGTTTTTCAAGACTAACCATTTGAATACTTCGAACTAATGTATGTAATTTAGGTGATACACTTGTAGATGGAACAAAAGTAGGTGCCCAATTATATGGATTTGTTATTTGGAAATGTTTATGAGCTTTTAAACTGTTTTCTAAAAAAGAGACAAACATTTTATTGATTTAAAATATTTAATTTTATCTTTACCATCGTTTAATTCATCTCTACAACATAAACGATTGAATAAATAACGTATTGATTGACCAAATTTTCTTCGTATGAAACATGATATACCAAGAACAATTATTACAAAAAATAATAGTAATATACCCAACCATAATGGATGAAAAAATTCATCATGTTCACGTCGATATTTAGTAAAAGTTTTCATTAAATTTAATTTTAAATTTAATGAAAAAGAAAAGCAATTATATATATATATATACGTATAAAAGTTTTTTGTGATTTCTTTATGAATGCGATCAATCAAACGCGTTATAAATATTTTTAATAAATAAGAGAACCTTCATAGTAAGAATTAACAAATGAAAATATGACAGTATTCAATTCGAGTTTATCATTATAAAATAAAAAGTTGTTTTTTTTTCTTGTTTTTTCTTTCTTTAATCTTTCGTGTTTTCTTCTATTTATGCCGGATTGAACAAAAAGAAGGAACTTAGTAGACCTTGATATTAGTATTATTTTTATCAAAAATATCTATTTATCTATAGATGAGTGTTTTGCTCAGGACGACATCATGTATCTCATGTTTGGCTTCAAGCTATTGTAAAGCATGAGATTATACTATGATTACTGAATGGAAGAAAAAAGAAACCAGAATTGTTACTACGTACTTTTTTGGTTTTTACTATCATGAAAAATGAAGTTTTGGTAAATATTTCTTTTAATAGATTTGAATATAGAAATAAATTGATTAGCTGTATAACTTTAGAAATTTTCATTGCTTGTCAATTATATCAATTTATGAATTAGCATTAAAAGAAATATCATAGGTAAGTTTGTTTTCTAAGACAAATTTATCAAAAATATTCAAATATATTATTCTGTTAAACAACTATATGTAAATCATCTCGTAGGAAATCCATTTATGAAAGCAGGAAATTAACTAGGTGGACAAACAATAAAAATCAGTTACAGCTGACACACACGCTGTAACATACGAGAATTTAAACTTAGAAGATTTATTGTTCCAGAGATTATATTTAGTATTGAGTGTTGAAATGAAAAAGAAATATAATAACTGAAACAAAACATACGTATTAACATGCATGCCAATCACTATTCAAATGATTAATAGAGCCAGCAAATCTTTCAAGCGAATATTTTGTTCCTATATTTTCAGAAATGACATGCGTTCATGCTCGTTATTTCGAATGGATATGTTGTTGTTACACGTATTAATAAAAGTTCCTTCTCATAGATTATATTGACCGGCAAAAAAAAAACAAGTCGAAATTGAACAAAGTATCCGAAGTATTCCAAACTGTGAGTAGTAATATAATATTTTTTTGCAAGCATGAACACCAGCTATATCTTTTTATAGGGAAATAATATCAGATTATTTTCATCACTCTGTGTATCTTATTATCTTGTTGATTTATGTCGATTATTTTTAGACTTCAAATTTGGCAATTCATTAGATAATCAAGAAGATCTTTGACAATCACATCAAAATTTCATTCATCAATCGATTATTTTTCTAATAGAAAGAAAATTTAATTCAATTAATTTTTAGAGGAAAACAAAATCAAGTCCTTTTTTTTATCATCAGAAAATTATTTTAAATCCACAAATAAACACTCTAAGCATCAAAGTTATTTGTTTCTCATTACATATTTTCAGTGAATGATATATGTTCAAAATCGCCATTGCAGAGAATGTCAAAATGAATAGAAATAATCAAGAGAAATGAGAAGAAAAAAGAAGAAGAGAGTAGTACGTGAATGATAAGGAATCTAGAAAAACAAAAAAAGTGAACACTAACTTAAAACATTCAAAACAACAGCCAACATATCGCGATAGACGAACAAATACACACATACAGAAATTCGAACAAGAGAAGAAAAAAAAAACGAAAACTAAAAAGATATATATTCAGATCATTTGTCGACTTATCCAGTTGGACAGAGATTAAACATAAATACACAATAAAGGGACTGTTCAAACACCTATAAATATGGAAATACTTCATGTTCGCTAGGCGATTGATGAAAGAAAAAGATAAAGAATTCTTGTTTATGTTATTCTCATGAGATAGAAAAGAAAAAATGAAATACTTTTTTATTTGTCGTTATTACAACGAAGTAATATATATATATATATGAATACAAATTATAAAGATCTTTTCGGAACATTTGGTCAAAAACATACAAATACGAATAATAGAAGTTGTCTGAACGATAATATAAAGAAAAGAATAAATTCTCTCTAAAGACAAGAAGAAGAAATGCATAAAGAAATGATAAAAAAAAAAACAAATAACGCAATATCTATATGCAAAAAAACGAAAGCAAATTCGATTAATATTGTTCATCATTATTTGTTATTATCTTTTAAATTGATTTTATTCATCCATTGTTTGACTGCCACCACCACGTATTGTTGGAACTGATACTGAAGCATTCGTTGATGGATTAACTCCAGCTCGAATTGGTTTTACTAAAAAAAAAGATTAATAAAGAGTCCTGTCGGGCTTGATGAACAATCTTGACCCAAAATACCATATACATCGTTTTTTAAAGCAATGTGCGACTCACTAAATGGTATATAGAAGTCAAGTTTAATGAAAACTTTGATATAGTGCAGGTTCATATACTAGTTATAGTTCTTGAAGAAGATATAGAGAGTACTCATAGACTTTGTAGTCTGTAAGATGAACTTACTCAAATTTTGTTTTTAAACTCAATTCGATACTGTTAAAGATGATCCCTTTTCTTACGTCTAGGTCATTTCTGGGCAATATAATATTTCAGTATGCTTGTTCCTATGACATAAAAAAACAAATGAGTACTAATGCGAAACTTTCTCAAAAGTTGTACATTATCAAACCCTATATGTTTGACAAATAACATCTTTGCCAATAGCAGAGATTGCTTGTCGGCTTGCAACCTTGTCTTGTAGAAGAGTATATTTCCTATAAGACGAAGGCTGATATATTGAGAACATTTTAACAATACTCAATAGTGCTATTAAAAATTTTCATGTACTAATAATCAACGCAGCATTCGTGATGAACTGATATAAATAATTTATTTATAAATGGAAAAAAAAACATTTTGGCCTCCGAATCCCTGAAGAGAGTACGGGCATATGGAAAAATTCATTTTTGAAATGGACACAAGATATTTATAGATTCTTCTAGAGTTTCATGCATAAATGAAACCTCGAGACTCTGAATAAAAATTCTAAAAATAGATAATAAAAATAACAGATCTCCTTCCTGCAACCATATTCCCATATTCATCTCGAGGGGTCCGATAGCTAAAAATTGTTTCCTTTTATCAAGAAGCTATTTATATCTGTTCATTAGGCATGCTGTGTTAATTATTAGTACATGAATATTTTTAATAGTACAGCTGAGTATTGTTAAAATGTCCTCAATATAACCCGCCCCCATCTCATAGAAAAATACGCTATTCTACGAGAAAATCTTACAAGTTGATACTGAAGCCCTACTGTTCCGACAGATGTTTTATATAAAACATATGCAGCTTGATAGTATGCAATTTTTGAGAGAGTTTCACGTTGGTAATCACTTTATCTGTGTCATAGAATTTAAGACACTGAAATATCATATTATCAAGAAATGACCTAGATCTAAGAAAAGGGACCATTTTTAACTATGAAGTAACGATGTAAACTATTAATTATAGAAAATTTGAACAGCATCTATAACTGTATCAAAATGAGGTTAAAAACAAACTTTGCATAAGGTTATCTTATGAACCCTTAGTACATCAAAATTTTCATAAAAACTTGATTTATATATTCCTTGATGCATTGCAAATTGCTCAAAAAAAACTCCATAAATGATATCCTAGTTCAAGATTGGTCATCGAATTTGATGGCATCTTTTTTAAGATAGGTAAAATAAAAATGAATTTTCTACCGATTTGTGCTGCATTTGTTCGACGAGCAAGATTACGTTGTCTTACAGCTTCTTTAATTCGATCAACTTCACATTGATATCGTTTTCGATCTTTCATAGCACTTTCTTTAGCATCTTTTAATGCTTGTTCAAGAGATTTAACACGATCCATTGTTGCTTTAAGACGTTTTTCTAATTTAGGTAATTCACATCGAAGATCGGCATTTTCACGTACAAGCTAAAAATAAGAAAAAGAAAATTTGTAAAAGTAAAAACGAGCAAAAAAATTTTACTTGTTTATGAACTTTTGTTAATTGATCGAGATTATTTTCTAAAAATGAGATTTTTTGTTTTTGTGCTACATTACCACCTACGTCATCTTCTTCTGTTTCAGGTTGTTTTTGTGACTAGATTTAAAGAGAAAAAAACAACAATGCATGATTTTTGTATTTAGGGAAAAAAAACAACAACAAACTTTTTTCAGCCGTGTTTGTAAATCTTGAACGAATAATTTTCGTAAATTATGTAATGTTTGTAATTCTTTAGCAACAGTTTCTTCAAGACCTTTCAAATCTTGTTTAGCTTGTTCACGACGCTCTTGTTGCAAACTAAAGAAAAAAAAAAACAAAAATTGTGTTTTTATATTTATAATGTTTTGTTCATACGTACGTCATTTCTTGTAATCGACTTGATTTATCTGTTTCTTCTTTTTTCAATTTTTCATAATCACCAAATAATTTTTCATAAGATAATTGTAATTTTTGTAAAGAACTAAATGAAAAGAAAAAATAAAACAATTATCTTTTTATTATTTTTATAGAAAAATTTACTCTTTTAAAATTTCCATTTGAGTTTCTCTTGCACGAATTTCATCACGTAATGAAGTTAATTGTTTTTGATGTTGTTCACTTATTTGTTCCATTTGTTGACTCAATTCTTTTTGTACATCAGATGTTGAGCCACTTGAAATAGTTACTCGACCTAAAAGCAATTTATTTGAATTATAAAAAAAACAAAAACTTTTGGTTTTTATCTAAGCTTGTTTTCCTTTGATTCTCATTTGAGGAAAGTTCGAACAAAGATAATTATAAGTTTTTGTGAAATACATGCAGTGAATTTTTCAATCAAAAGTAGAATAGCATGAACATAAATATTAAAATGAGAAATGGTTTTCTTAGGTTTTCATCCCATTTGAAACAGAGTTTTAACTAGAGATGTACGAGCCTGGTCTAGTGAGCATTATTCCAGAATTTATTCGTATCACATCTAAAAACACGTCATCA